GTTTCTCTGAGCATTTATTCTTACACGTTAGCATATTGTAGTTAAAAATGGGGAAACTATTCAGGGAGGAGAATGAGCTGAACATATGCTGTACTGACAACATGAAAAAATATGCAAAAAAGTTGGAATAATGTGCAGATCATTTGCCTGATATTTTTAGACTGCATTTCTGTTCCTCAAGGCAAGGTGCTGAGTGTGGATGTGTGAAAGGAAGCTCACTGCTGACTAGGAACATTTTTATCTGTTCCACACATGCCTTGCATCTAATACCTAAAGTCAGGTTCTGAGCTGACCTCAGACAGTTTGGCCCAGGTGGTCTTTGTTTACTGACCATTCAATGTTACAACAGCACTGAAAAAAGTGACCCATGATCACTTGTCACATTTATGACCATTGCAACATTCCCGTGGTCCCATGTTCAAAATTTATGACAAGTCATTGAAAAATGTTTCATATTTATGACAGTTGCAGTCTCAGGCCACACAATCTCCTTTTGCGACCTTCTGACAAGCAAAATCAATGGCGAAGCCAGATTCATTTAACAACTCCATTTCTAACTTAACAACTGCAGTGATTCACTTAATAACTGTTGCAAGAAAGGTCGTAAAGTGGGGCAAAACTTATTTAACAAATGACTCACTTAGCAACAGAAATGTTGTGCTCATTTGTGGTTGTAAGTGGAGGACTACCTATATGTGGGGCAAATCCTGGAAATAATTCTGGGCCATTTGAATAACCTTGGAGGTCTTCTAGTCCAACCCCCTGCCAGCAGAGTGGCATGAGAGGAATAGTGGAAGAGGCTATAGATTCACTCACTGCCCTTAGAAGCAGCTGGATCTCCTCTGCCAGCCCTAATAGAGGCCCTCTGCTTGAGGGAATGCCCTCTCCACATGAAATGAAATGGGGGAAGAAAGGGGTGAATGCAATTTTTTTTACTATTGGTTCTGTGGCCGTGGCTTGGTGGGCGTGGTGTGGCTTCTTGGGCATGGCAGGGCAATGATACTACAAAATTTTCATTCCCTCCGCACGCTGGGGCCATCCAGAGGTGGCATTTGCCTGTTCTCTGAACTACTCAAAATTTCTGCTACCGGTTCTCCAGAACCTGTCAGAACCTGCTGAATTTCACCCCTGGATGAACATGTGCAAATGTCAT